GCGGCCGCCCCGCCGCCTCTGCCCGCAGCTCCAGCCGTGCCCGCCATGCGAGAGCGATGAGAGCAGCTCCTCCAGACGCAGCCCGGCAATGGAGGATGATTTATTCCAGCTGAGACAGCTGCCGTGAGTAGCACCGACCGGGGAGCGGGGATGCGCAGGATTGCTTCTAAACGGGCTGCAGGGATATCGTGAATCCTGGTGATTTTTAGGGGAATTATTTCTGAGAAGTGTCTTAGGCCCCGGGAAGCAGGCCATTTTTCTTGTATAGCTGCCTGGGTTCAGCATGCAGGGATACATTTGTTATAGAAATTCACTCAATTTTTATATTTTGCATGAACTTGATGGTGGTAGAAATAAGGAGGGGTGGCATAAAACCGTGGAGGTACCAAAAGATTTTTTGAGAGGAAACGTTACTATTGCAATTTGCAAGGTGGATTGCATCTGTAAATAACGTTGTGCCAGGGAAGGCATCTTCCTCAGCTTCCTCCTCCGTGCCGCGAACTGCTTGCAGATCAGAACCTCTTTTGCAAAGGTGTGTTTGCAGTGAGTAATCATCGACATTTCCTAACTGTATGTTTTGGAGAAGCAAACATTGCTGCACAAGGAAAATGCTGTTATTTGTGAGGAACTCCTTGCTGTGGGGATGTGGTTGCTGGATCTGTGCAAAAAGGTGATAAAAGCATTGCTGCCTTTTAACACCAGTGTTTCGTTTCCTTTTCATGAATGCAAAATGTTTCCTTTAAAAACAAGTGCATTTCTCCTAATGCTCCATTATCAGGTGCTTTGAAAGATGTTCCTATTTATAAATCATTAACTCTGCAAGGCAGGGAATAAATGCCTAAAGTTGATTTTAAATATTAATGAGCTCATGTCAATGACAGAGCAAACTGTCCCATAACATTCCTAATAAGTTGGGAAAATGGACACGAACTCCAGTTATTTTCAAATACTTATTTGGGATGCATTCAGCTTGTCGGTAAAAAGAATAAGACATGATTTCATTAGGCCATTTTTCCCTAATTTTCTTTTTAAAAACAAGATAGAGAAAAATGTTCTAAAGTACCTTTCAATATAGGTGTAATTAGACTTATTCAGCGCTGCGGGATCTTGCAAACAAATGCAGCTCTCTGAGATGTCTCAGCTGTGAAGAATTTTGCGAGTATGGACCAGTAAATACCGCTGTGTGATTTTTTTTTCTTCATTTATGTCAATTTGTTTCATAGGTTCCTAAGTGATAAACATGGTTTTTTATTCCCTGTGATGAGGAATGTGGCCAGATAGCTCTCTACTTCAGATTGCCATTGAAGTATTTACAATTGTCAGATCAGTCACTGCCTTTGTATAGCATCTGGAACCATGGTCAGTGACCGAAATGGTCATTTCTGAAAGTCTACTTCAACAAATATTACAAAATAAGAAACAGTAATACAGGGATTTTGTGATCAGGTAGTTTAAAGTCAGGAGGGTTTTTATTGGTGTGTTTATTTTTCCTGTGGCTTTCTAGGACACTGAACAGTTACCAACATAGGTTGTATGAATGATTTTCAGTCACAATCCCATGGAGTAATGGCACTTCAGACCTCCTGAACTGGGGGAAGAGGTGCCCATATACTTCAATGAATTTTGCACCAGGCTTTGAGACTGCTGAAGTTATAGTAATAGTCTTCGTTTAAAAAATAAAAATATAAAAGTTTACTTCCTGTATAGTTAAACCAGGTGCTTGTAAAGCTTTTGTAAATAAGATGTGAAAGGTGCTTCAATATTAATTGCCCAAACAAACAGTGTTTGTTTGCTGAGAATATGTATTTTGTAGGTCATATGAGGATTATATCTTCAGTGACAATTTTAATGCGAGGGTAGTAATTACTTGTGTTTGTCCTATAGGGTCAGCAAAAGAAAATTCAAACAGAGATAGTTGTACTGAGGTTAAAAAAACATCAGATTAAGAAAATTTAAAATTTACTTTCTCAATGGAACTAAATATGAACCTGAATTCAGATGAGTTTCATTGTTTTGTCTTTTCTTATAACTGAGTGAAGGATCCTCTGCATACCCCAAATCAGAATGTGAGATAAGCCCTCGTTTCACTGCAGTCCATGTAGTTTTCTTGCCCATTTTGAAGCGACCTGGGGTTTTGTTCTATGTTCTTATGTTTAAGACCCTCAAATGTTATCATTCATGTTATCATACTGAAAACAAAATTTGTGACCCTGTTATTTGTCCACCAAGACTTAAAGGCCAGAGAAAATCTTTCAGTTTCCTGCTGCAGATGAGACCATTACTAAAGTAGTAAAAAGAATATTTGCCCCATACGGATCTTGCAATGCCCTGTTGACCTGAAAGAAAATCATCCCAAAACACCTCAACAGCCTGCAAATCAGGCTGTCCTAAAGTTGAGTGATAGCCTCACAAAGCAGTCATTGTACTTCTCTCTCTCTCCAGGTTACTGCCAGTGTAGCATTAGTGAGTATATGCAATTCCCCAGGTGGGCTGTGGTCAGGGAAATAATCTATGTGCCAGGACTGTGAGAAAATAAAAGGAAAAATATTTTGTATCCCTCTGCTTTATGTTCCTACCACAGTGAAGTCCTAAGCTGGACTGAATGGCTGGTCGTGGCCAGGACTCCTCTCTTCATCAAAAACCCCATGGGTGACTGAGATGCTCACTCCTCCATCCTCTTGTCCACCATTGGGCCAAAATCCATTTACAGGAGTTTTGTAGGTTGCCCATCACTTTGCCCTTATATTAACTATTGATTGTGTCATTGGCACTTGTAAGAGAAAGTAAGAGTTGGGTTTGTGCCAAATATGAAAAGTCTTTCAGATCACCTTTAGAAATGTCGTACATGCATGTCAGCATGCTGCAGCTGCAGTTGACAATGATGCTGATAGTTTTGTTTTGCTGACCCCTAAACCAGAGGATTAAACTGAAGTTCAAGAGGCTCTCTGCTAATCTTTACTGTAGAATTAAAATGTTCATGTATTGAAAATCAGAAGAGGTAGTAGCAAGACTCATTTAATCCATTTCCAAAAAACTATTTCACTTAAGTCCAAGAAATTGTCACTTCCCAAGATGAAAAATTTACACTGATGTTGCAGGTAAAGTGAAGGAGGCTTGAGGAATCTCTTAAATTAAATATGGTAGATCTGCTTCAAAATCTTTGTTTGGTCACAGGAAACTTAACCGATGGAAAATGGACCTCCTCTATATATGCACAAAGCATTGCACAAAATCGCTCCGACCAAAACGTGAAAGTTGTGTCAATTTAGCAAAGTTGTGTTTTCATGGCTTATTCTCTCCGTTGCCTTGCTGCAGGGATTAGACCATTATCTCTCAGCTAGTGCCAGAAATGATATAAAATACAGACAGCTATGAGCACGACACTCATGTGACAATCTTCATCTCATATGCCAGGGCTATAGCTGGCAGGCAGGTGCACTCTTCAGTCTTGCCTTGGACTTAATGAAAAAAGAAGTATCGTCTGATTCACTTTCTTATTCTGTCCCACCTTATTACCTAACAAACTCCAAAAATGTACAGATGGACCAAGTATTGGAAATAAAATAGTTTCTTAAAATACAGGTATTTAATAAATTATATAATATTAAGTACTTCAGTTTAAGATGAGAGATGAAAGCAATCATATTTATAGTCACAATCATCACCATAATGGAAAAAAATCAGTCAATTCACTGAATTATGAATCCTACTTCACTAAGTAGTGTTTAAAAATCTGACAAATTTCGGACTTCCGTTTCTCCTAAGACACAAAACAATTCTTATGAAAACAATGTGGAAGATTGAATTTGGGTTCTTCCTACAAAGACAAAGCACCTGAAATTCAGTGACACAGCTATGTCTAATTCACAATAAATGTCTAGGCACACAAAACATCATTATCATTAAATATATATAATTTTGTCATATTTTTATAACCTCTATGTTTTTATAACTTCATACATTAGCATGATAACACCCTATTTGTACAAAAATGATGACTATGTCACATAGCAATGTACTCTGCAGTTTTTCCAAAGCCAGTAGCAACCAAGAGGATACCGTATCTAAAAGCAGGTACAAATAAAAGTCACAGCATTCTCTATGAATGTGAAATGGAAACAGGAGGGTGGGGAGAAACCTGACTGCTGTTTGACCAAATAGGGCTTCAAGACTAACCAAACACAGCTTCAACCTGGAAAAGACCCGCCAAAGTACTAATCCTTGATTCTGTGTTCTTAGGGTGGTCAAGTTTCGCCGCACTGGGGAAAGTTCAAGGTCAGATGAGGATGTCATTTCAGGAGCACATGAAATTCAGATTGAGGGTGTTCGGACAGAACTAGAGCCTATTGAGCTAGAGGATGGAGCTGCAGTGCCAAAAGAATTTGCCAACCCAACTGATGGTGAGTAGGTTTCTTGTTTTCCTGTAAGGAGAAAGGTGAGACCTCTTCAGTCATGTTGCAACCAGGCTGAATACACTGTGTTTAGAGAAGTTAAAGATCCCCAGGTAAAAGAAGGAAACCATAACACAGGCAAATTATGTTACACCTGAAAGTCACGATTTAGCTACCTTGTTCTCTGAGGGATGTTTTATGTGTTTGTTTATATATTACCACTAATAGACCTTTTTAAGGAGTTGTGTATTCAGTTGTCACCACCTATTTCATGCAGGAGATTTGACGTAGTTTCCTTTAGAACTGATCGGTGCTCCTAAAACATCGCTAAATTTACTGGAGCAGATACACGTGGCTCACCTTCAAGGCTGAGCATGAAACCGCTGCAGTATTCCTGTCTCCTACTTGCCTAGAGGACAAGAGGGACAGAATGAAAGTGCATCCCAGCCTCTGCTTGCTGCCTAGCAGAGAAGTGCCGACTGCCCTGAAGGCAGTGTAGAAGATACGAGAAGTGTTGGTTTTGTCTTAGCACAAGTCATACTAAAATTTTGTAGGATGATTATTTTCCTGGGGACTTATTAACATATCGATGCAATAGGAAGCCAGAATACCATGGAGCGAGCTCAGTGAGTTTCTCAAAAGACTGAGCACATCAGTGTAAGTCTGCAGATGTATGTAGAATTTCAGTTGGCACATCGCCCAAAAAAGTGCAAGTGATGCAACATCCCAATATGCTGAGCTTCAGTGCCATCACACCAAATGCCTGGGTTGAAGTCACAAACTGAGGTCTTATGATATCTCTGCTTCATTTTATCAGTTAGATTTTGTTTGATTTCCTTTTGGTTTGTGTTTCTGTCTTTTGCTTTGTGAGGATATTGAACTCTTAGCTAGATAAAGCTTTCCTGTGGTGAATGTAGTTTTTAAACTGCTGGAAGTGTTAAAGCTTTGAGACTTGAATTGATTTAAACAACTTGATTATCAAAATGTATTTTTGCTTTATTTTTAATTTTACACTTGAGCAAAAGGAATTTGAGATATCTCAGCTTCTTCAGAAAGAACAAAACAATGAGGTCATGACAATGTGGGAGAAGCAAGAACCATCAGCTTTTTTAACAAAAGTTTGTTTTAAGATGTATGTGTCTTGGACAAATTCTTGATTCAAACAATCAAAGTTTGACTCTCCATGCTATAAGAATATTTTATTCTTATTAAGAATATTCTTCTGCACTTTCCATCTCTTGCATAGTATTGCAATGTGCTGTTGAACAGCTCATATACTTCTCACCAGAGGAAGCTGCAATTCAGTGGCTGGTGGAGTCATACCCAGGAGTAATAAGCTGAATATGTGCTGGAGTTACTGGTGCTATGCTGATTTACTTCTATATGAATAGAATATTCTAGGAATATTTAGAATTATTTTGGCTTTAGCATGATTCCTGAAGAACACAGAGATTTTCCTGAGCAGGAACTGTATAAAAGCTAGGTAGCATTCTGTTATATATTTTAGATTTCAGTAGATTACCCAGTTAATAAGTAATTGCATTCACAGAAAATGCTGTCTCAAGGGATGGCTCTTACTAAGAAAGGAGTACACTTCTGCACTAGAATTGTTTTCTTTCTAGATACTTTCATGGTGGAAGATGCGGTGGAAGCCATTGGATTTGGAAAGTTCCAGTGGAAGCTCTCTGTCATTACTGGATTAGCATGGGCAAGTAATTGTTACCAATGTTAACTGCATGATATCAGTTGGAGAATCTCAGTGATTTCAAATAATGTAGCCATTCTCTGCAGACAAAAAGTCTCTAAACAGAGAATTGTGCAATAAAGAAGGAATTTTACTTGAAGTGACAGCTGGACTCTTAACTTGTTCTGTGGGAGCAATGAATAACTGATTGATTTCTCTGTCTCTGAAGTTCTTATAAATCAGGGTTTGAAAAATCATTCTGATTCTCTACTTCAAATGCTTGTTTGAAATGGAAGGGGTACTAGGCTATTCCTACAGAAGCAGATCTCAGTTTTCATGCAGTGATTTTACCACATTCATCCCATTATCTACAATCTCTGTTCTCTGTATCAGTCAGTATTATTGTGATCTCAGTTTCAGGTGAACAGCAACCTGTAACTTCTAGTTTTAACCTTGATACCAAGAAGAGAAAGACAGGCTTTGTTTTCACTTTTCTGCTATTTCTGAAGCACTATGTTGCATCTGCTGTGGTATATTATAGGGTAATGATATCTGGAGCCTTTATTTACCAGCTTTCGTCTATGTATAAGGTTACAATCTGCCATGGTTTAGATCCTAAGTCAGTAGTGGAGTTTGGCCTGCAGATGATCTATCAATATATTTGATACAAAGTCCAGAAGTAGTGTATAAGGGAGGAAGGGAGTAAGTTATAAGGTAGTAAACAGTTCTGATTGATTGAGTCTGTGTATAAAGGAGTTGAAAGCTCATCCCTGTAACAGGCAATATGGAAGTGAATGAACCTGCGTGACTGACCAGACAAGCCTCCTCGAAGTCACCCACCATAGCTTTTGATTTGGCTCTTTGAATCCTCTCTGCCAGTGTTACTAAACACTATGACAATCAGAGATTTATTTAAAAGTGCAACTGTTGCTTTTTTTCTCCACACTGTGTACATCCACTGTACCTTGCAAACATAACCATTTTGTTTCACCTACAGAGTGGGAACGCACAGAGCAGAAACAAGGTTAATTTCAAGAAGCTATATTATTATCTGCTATGTCAATCTAATTTTCAGGCAGTTATTTATTTTTGTTTCTTTTTTACCCTTCTAGATGGCAGATGCTATGGAAATGATGATTTTAAGTATCCTAGCTCCTCAGCTTCATTGTGAGTGGCGATTACCAAGCTGGCAGGTTGCATTGCTCACATCGGTAGGAAAAATAACTGACAGCTCCTGTATTCTGTAAGGTTTTTCCACTCATTGTTATTCAGACATTATACTTTATATCCCAAGGTTAAATCTGTTCGTGGCCTTTGCAAATTGCCTTTGGCTCCGAAGAATATAGGAGTCTTTTTAAAAGCGAGAGCTTGAGGAAATGAAACTCAGTGAGAACTGAGGAAATTTTGCAAGTTTCAGGTTCAAAGTTTCATGTGATTTCCAGGAAAATATATGACTTGACTGAGACTCATCCTAAAATTCAAACCATTTGATTAATTGAAAAAAAGGATTGGTAAATTTTTACTATCTTTCTTGAAAATCTTTCTCTCTTACTGCATTTAAGCTTGCTTGTACTTGAACAGACTGGGAGCCGTGAGAGAGAGCAAGCAATCTCTTTTCAAGGTTTTTCATCCAGTGATCTTTGCGAGCAGAGCTCTTATAATACCAACTCTAGGTATGGTGCTATGATGCAATGCCTTTAGGGATAAGAAAACTGGTTTTGGGACCCTTCTCTCAGCATATGCTATTGTTGTATGGCATGCACTTTAACTCCTACATTTCTTTTTCCTTTAGCTTTTGGTGCCATTTGTGGTGTTGTGTAAATTGGTCAAAATGCTCAATAGATTTAAATCAGTTAAGATCACGTCCTTTCCCATACCTGCATGCAGACAGCCCATCTGAAGGAAGGTCTCATTCCTTCTTTCAGCTCAGGACAATTTTATCCTTGGTGAGCAAAATCAGAAGGAGAAGGGGTCAGTGGACATGAGACAAAAGCTTTGACAAACAGAACTGCTTCTTACCCCACTTATTGCTTGAGTATGCACTTCTTTCTCAGACAAAATTCCTATGGTTTTAATGCACTGATGGGGGAAATATGCTTTGGTTTTGCTCTTACTTTCATTGAGAAGGATTTCATTTCTCTCTCCATCTACAGAATAAACTATACTTTTTGATGTCACCTCTGAAAAAAAAGATTGTTTTTGTGAGTTATGAAAACCCTTCAGCAAAAAAAAAAAAAAAAGACCCAGAAACAAGACAATGATTCCCATTTAGTGGCAAATTGAGCTCTCCAGTCTTTTCTTATAATTTTTTTTTTTCCATTTATCAAAAGCTCAGAAATACTCAGCACTGGTCTAATTCAGTAGTTCACAAATTAACAGGTAAGATAAGGGTGATGTGATGACAAGTAGCCTGGCAGAGATTTGGTTTATTTATGTTGTGTTCAGATTCCTGACCTCAAGAAGAGCAAGGCAGCTACTGAAAATGGGCCTACCACAGGAAGAAGCTGAGAGACCTTGGCTTGAACAGTCTGCTGACACTCATCCCCATTCCTGGGCAATAGCGAATTCCCTTTCAAATCAGTGGACATGAAGTTAGGCTAATGCTGAGTGACTTTTGAAAAATCCTACTATATGAATGATTATCTTTAACAGTCTCTACTGAGAGACTGTAGTTTCTCTACTGAGCAACTGTACCCAGAAAACCTGGACATTTTGCTCTGTTGTTAGAGCTGAAATCTTCTAGTTTCATTGTGAAGTTGTGTCCTCTTTGCTGTCATGTGGAAATTTTCACTTGTCTTGTTAAGGGGAAGATTTTTTTCTGGTGTTTCACAGGTGGTGTTTGTGGGAATGATGTCCAGCTCCACCCTTTGGGGAAACATTTCAGACCAGTACGGGAGAAAAACAGTAAGTCTTCAGCTCCTACTGGAATCTATTCTAGTAATTCTACAGTGTGGGTGTTTCAGTGCATGATGTTCACAAGTGTCATAGTCCACATGTATGAAGCAGAATTAAGCAGAGCCAGAATTGACCTCCCATGAAATAAAAGGAGTTTGAAGCTCTACTTTACATTTCGTTAATTTGTGTTACAGCAGAGACTTTCTTTTCTTCCTGCTTGTTTGTTAAATACAGGGCCTAAAGATCAGTGTGTTGTGGACACTCTACTATGGGATCCTCAGTGGTTTTGCACCAGTGTATAGCTGGATCTTGGTGCTGAGGGGCCTGGTGGGCTTTGGGATTGGAGGAGTGCCTCAGTCGTAAGTAAATATTCACAAGTCCAAACTTTCTCTTTTCTATTTATTTTTTTAAAAATGCTTATGTCAAATTGAAGACATGCCTGTGTTCAGTTGTCCCAAACCCATTTTTTTCTAAGTATTTTGGAACTAATATATTAAGCTCTGAGAAGGCTTTGAAGATACCTAACACATCACTGAGGTGAATCAGATTTACAGTGACTTCTATGTGAACAAGCTGCATCCCTCAATGTAGTATGTTCTATGCCTTAAGCCCTTTTAAGCTGCTCTCATTCCCCCAGGTAAACCATGGTGAAAATGAGAGGCCCAAAGAGCCCACCTAGAAGTGGGTAAAACACAACAGACAGCATTTTGTAGCTGTGCCTAAACACTGCGTTGCTAGATTGTATTGGTGGAGTCCGTGAGGGACAACATGGTTTTGCTGCAAGATAGGTCATGACCTAAACATTAGCATTTAGAGGCAGAGCCAGCTCCTGATTGTAAAACTTCAGATTATTGTTCAGGCAGAGCCTGAACTTTCACGTCTGAACCTGAATTGGAATTCCAAAACTACACAGCCCAAATCTGGAGCACTGAAGATATCTTGATGGCTCGGACACGTTTCTAATAAGAAAGGTGGATTTCTTATTACCACCAGGTAATATTTCTCCACCAGGATATTTCTCTATTACTGTGGCATTCCATTCATTGAAGAGGGGGATCTCTAAATTTTCCACTTGGAATGAATAACTGCTCTAGGCTTTTAATTATAAATGTAAAGGGAAGCATATAGCCATTCTCTCTCTGTGTAGTCTTTTATCCTTATTAATAATTGATATTTTGCCCCATGGAGGTGCTATTTTGGAGTAGTCAGAGTCTAACTGTGATTGATGGCTCATAGACTTCTTCACAAGTCAATATCCTGTCTTTTCTATTGCCATTCCCAGATAAAAGATTCAGAGCTGAGATGGAACATCACAGTATTATTAATTTCCTTTTAATGCTCTCCTGCCCACCTTAAGAAGCTGCACAAAAGTATAACGTGTATATAAAATAGGAAAGTCCTTAGCCTACTGTGTATTGACCAACGGTGAGGCAGCTTCTGCCTCTGCAGTTCCATCTGAGCACAACTGGAATGAGGCGGGAGACCAACACAGACAAAGCATCAGAGTTAATAATGCCTTGTACTGCAAACACATATTAATGATGTTCCACAGAGCCCCAGTGGAACAGCTACAGCACAGCTAGTGCCTGTTTACAGAGGGGCGGATAATGCACAAAGGCTATGTGACTTAATGAGAGACAAAGAAGAGCTGGTTACAGAACTCAGAGTGGATTCCATTGCTGCTGAGTCTGTTTCTTGTTCTAACTATAATAGTGATTCCTTTGACAGAGGAGTAAATATGTGTGAAGCAGGAAAAGTAGCTCCTTTCTAATAGCCTTAAGTGGGCTATGTAACTTCGGATATGAGTGGCTGAATTTCAATGGAATCACAAAGGTATCTTTATAATTCTATATTCAATAATGAGTATGAGAGAGAGATTTTTATGAAAGGTGCTATTAAAAAGAAAGCAACCAGCAATAGTAAATGAACTGGCTATAGCAGATATCCCTCTATCTATACGTATGTAGGAGCTGCACCTGATAAGCTGTGGCCTCCTCTGGGAATTTTCTGGAATTTTCTCTGAGTATGACTATTCATTCACAGTGCCAACATCCAGAAGATATGGAGTATTCCCTTAAGAAAACAGTTCTGTACAGCATTAATCAGCTCTTGTTCTCTGCTGCAATATATAGGGGACTGCTCTACATTTCATTACGTGATTTTACTTCCTTCTCCTCTTAATCACTGATTTAATATAATATTGTGTGCACCTCTATACTCCAATGAACTGAGTTCTGGGAAGCTACTCAGAGATCAATCCACCATTTGTCAAGTTAGCAGGAGTTTTGTCACAAACATCAAAGAAAGCCTAAGGAGTTTAGATGAGGATGAGTCAATGGAATGCAAACAGAGTAGGAGCAAAGAACAAGTCTTACCAGATGGTTTGAAGAAGACAAGAGAGCCTTGACTGGCTGCTGTCCCTTGCATTCATCCTTAGGAAATACTCACAGAGAAGCTGTACCATTACTCTTTGGCACAGTTATGAAACAAAGGCTCTGCAGAGTTAGATGATTTCTTTTTGAATTCCCACAATAAAAGAATGCAAATTATTTTATACCAGTAACAGGATCAGACCTCCAAAGTATTCACCTCTTGGAGAATTGAAACCTGGCAGAGTAGACTGATATGAAATTCTCTGAGCCAGTTGTAAAGCCCTGAAGAAATACTTTACCCAGCAAGAGTTTGTGTTGAGTGCTGATGGATCACACTGAAAATAACAGGCGTAATGCCTGTCCCAGACCAGAGCAGGGTTGTGAAAACATATGCATCAAGAACTGCTACATTTAGCTAACAGCTATAGGGTTACAAAATCACATGAACAGAGTGAATTCTGTCCTCCATTGCAATGATGAACTAAAGGGGTTTTGTTCTGATGTAGAAAGGGGAGTCTGAGCGAGTGTCCACAGCCTTGCTGACTCTGAGGGCTAGGAAGGGTTTTGCGTTACTACTATGGGTTTGGCAATTTTGATAAAAGGCAAACGAAATGTTTGAACCTCTCTCATTGTGCTAACGTGGTGTTTTTCTCAATGTGCTAACATGACATTTTTCTCGATGTTCACTCTTTACAGGGTAACCTTATATGCTGAATTCCTTCCAATGAAAGCCAGAGCAAAATGCATTTTATTAATAGAGGTGAGCAGTGTAGCTATGCATACTGGTCCCTAGAGGGACAAATTCTGCTGCTGGTTACATCCATTCAGTCCTGCTGACTAGACATTTCGTACATAGCTGCAGTAAATGCAGGGCTAAATTCAGCTCCCCATATTCAGCCCAAATGTATCAAAGTCACAGAAAGCAGAATTTTGCCCTATAAATACTTTAAGAGAAAATTCTCAGCCCTTTAATGGGTGGTTGAAGGGTCAGAGAACAGTACTATTACTTGTCTGCATCAGTCAGTTTGGAAGGAGCATCCTTGTGGAAAACCTCACCAAACTGAAACAGCTTCTCAGTGGAAAACCAGTCTTCTAAGATATCTGCTGGCTAGTCCTACATTCACTTGATTAATCTTTTGTAAATAGAGTTCAGTAGATGAATTACTCCTTTCTGTGTCACTTTTGTTCTACCACAGTTTGGCTGCCTCTGAGCAACCCTGGGTTAGAAATATATTCTGAGTGTTAAATAATGAGCTAAGTGGTTTCATAATCTAAAGGAGAATAATCCTGCATGGGTAGCATATGCAAGAGGGTGCCAGCTCTGTTATTTGCTAAGAAGGTATCAATTCCTTCTTTCATCTACAGGCCAAACTCTGTGGCTTTGGTAGCTTGGTTTTGGTAAGGAAAACAAATACCATAAATTTCATAGTGGTAGCTGGGAATGATACTCATAGACACATACATTAATGGTCATTTTGCTTAAGAAACAGCATGTGATGAGTCTATTCCTCACAAGAAGCTACAAACATGAGTGTCTAGAGAAGGTCGATGCTAGGTTTTCAGAAATGAACATTTTAGCTTCCATGACATTTAAACAAATCCCCTTAAAATGTCTGGACTCTATTTCCATACAGTGGTACATGTTTGAAATGTCTCTGGCACTTCTCTCTCCAGCTGTCCCTAGAGAGCGAATCTTGGAATGTTACAAAGGAGGAGGCCTTAAGAGCACTCTTATTCTCATTTGTGACTGTTTCTTTTCCCTTTGGCAGGTCTTTTGGGCCATTGGGACTGTGTTTGAAGTCCTTCTAGCAGTGTTGGTGATGCCCACTCTTGGCTGGCGGTGGCTTCTCATTCTTTCTGCCCTCCCACTTTTGCTCTTCGCTGTCCTATGTTTTGTAGGTATTCTTTCAAAGACGAATATATGTTCCATCAATCTACCACTTCTCTACCTGATTCTATAACCTGAATGAAGGAAATTGTGACACTGTTGAGCTCTCTGTTCGTGTCTTCTCTGAAACATCTGAAATAATGACAAAAATGCTGTTGTTTCAACAGGGTGCTAGTAAAAACATTCCAGTGAGATCTGTGTTTATGTGACTGTAATTGCTGGAGGACAATGGTGGGCTGGAATTTTGTGAAACCAAATCAGGCCTGGAAACCTCTCCAATTTAATGAATTTATTTCAGCTAAGCTCAGTGGAACCAACATTTTATTAAAAGCTGTTGCTATTTCCCTGATTGCTCTTTAGATTTTTAAATTACTTTGTCAAAATTGTACCTTTTATTATTACTGCCCACTTAAAAAATCCACCCAAATCAGGGGTAAAATCTGCGTAGCGCGGGTCAGATTCTAAAATAAGACCTATATGAGTTAAACCTGAGCTTCAGTGCACTATTATTAGGTAATATATTTGCCAGTCACTCATATATCTCAAAGATATATGTCCTTGTCAGGTTGTTTAGTTAGATTGTTATTATTCCTAGGAATAAAAAACTGACATTGTTTTTCAGCGATACCTCAAGTTATACAGGTGCTAACATGCTCGTTTTTAAAAGGAGCTTAAAAATGCAAATTTTGGAATGCCTAGAGTATCTTGTGATCTGCCCTGGATGCTTTGCCTTTCCTACTGAGAAGGTGTAATGTAAAGAACCTGTAAAAATGCCTAACATTTCTCAAGAATAAAACTAAGGTAACAGAAGGGAAAGATTTTAGACTGGAGTTCTGACTTTATGGTGAAAGTGGGGTTTTGCAGTTTCTTAAAGCCTAAGGAGGAGTTTGACATTTGACAGAAAGATGGTTCTCTGAATCGATAAAAGGTTAGTTCTGTAATCCTTTCTTATGTGAGCAGTCTGCTTGAGTCGCTGAGATTTCCCACTGTAAGCCCACAAAGAAAATCCCCAGTTTGTTTATTGCTGTGTTTTTGACATCATTGTGCTTGTGATCTGCTTTGCTCTCTTAGTGGCTGCCAGAAAGTGCCAGGTATGATGTATTATCTGGAAATCAAGAAAAAGCAATTGCCACTTTAAAGCGGATAGCAACGGAAAATGGAGCTCCAATGCCTTTGGGAAAATTAATTATTTCCAGACAGGTATGTGCAGGTAACAGGCACATTACTAACGTGGGATACAATCAAACTGTGCTACATTCATATGTATTTTTATAAGCAAATAATCAATGTTAAGTTTAATTTTAATGTCTCAACCAGTAATAAAAAAATGAGAGATGATCCTATAAGCCTCTCTGACAGTGAGGAGTTAGTTTCTCATTTTTATTTACATGAAAATCCTGCAAGCGAAAAGGACCTTTAAAGTGGGCATTAATGTTATTTAACCTCACTCTAAGACCCCATTATTAAAGAAAATCAAACCTTGAGGCTACCAAAGAACTCACATCAGAATTCCCAGATCTGAACTCATGAGACAAGATGGAGTTTGACTCTTTAGCTGTACCTCATTTTTAAGCTAATCCTGATTTTCTGGAGTGGGAAAGCTGCAAGCTCCTATTCAGTCCTAATGCATGGAGTAATTCAGGCTGTTACTTCTGAGCTGCATATTACTGTATGAATTGCACTGGATGCTTTTTTATTTCAGCTTTATATGGCCAACTTTTCATCACCCCTGTCAACATATAAAGCAGCTCTGCATTTACAGAACAATGAGCAGACTTTTGTAAGAAAAGAAAGTTACAAAGTTAGCCAGCAAGGAAGGACAGCAGAGGGAGACTTCTAGATTTGAACAAGAGCAAAGCTGTAAAGCTAGGCAGGAGCCTGTTGGTAATGACAGCATCTTACTAATCAGAGGTGGAGGTTTGATTTTCTAAGGTCTAGATCAGTGAGGATTTGAGCTCCTGTGCATTTTGCAAATGCTTAGTTCAGTCATGGTAATTTTGATGGGCTGTGCAGGAGCACTCTCCAAGTTTTGTTTTCAGGGTGGGGTGGGAAAATACTTTTCCTTAACCACAAGCTTATGGGCTGAGCCCTCCACTCTCTCTAAGATCCACACAGTTTAAAAGGGGTCTGCTTGCAGGAGGGCTGCCTGTAGTTCCTCAGGACCTTACCCTAGATCAGAAGCCCTGAGGGGCTGCTCTGATTTACAGGAGCTGGCTGTGGGCCACATGAATCATATGCCACCTGTGGATTGGCAAAGTTCTGCTCTACCTCTTCCCAGCCCCACCTTGTTCTGACAGATCCTCACTTTCTCTGTGGAGGAGTAGTGTGCCCTGTGCATGAACTGGTTTTGATATCGTTACGTCCTAGAGAATTCCCCTTGGCAGAGGAATTCTTTACTTGGAGCCCAGCTCCAGTGTTGCTCCTGCAACCTGAATAGCCCTCAGCTGAAACCAGACGCTCATCCTGAGATACAGTACGTAGGACTGTGTATTGTATCATCCCGTGCCACTCTGCATCCTCCAGTCCAGGACCAGTGAGTGCCCTGATCATCTGACTTCTGCTTATTTTCAACAGGAAGACCGAGGAAAAATGAGGGACCTTTTTACGCCCCATTTTAGATGGACCACATTGTTACTCTGGTTTATATGGTAAGAGGAAATATAAATGGCTCAGTGCCAGCACAATTCTAAGTGGTTTCTAATGGAGGTGTTTTACAGTATCACTAAAATACAGCAACTTCCTCCTAAAAAAAAAAACCCAAAACAACAAAAAACCAGCCCCACCTCTCTTGATTTGTAATTTATTAAACCACCCAATCAGTGGCATTCTCAATCTAATTGTCCCTTCATTTTCTAAATGCTGATAGAAGGCAGTTTTGAGGCAGCACTTGATGGAAGTCCTCACACAGTAGGTTCAATTTTGATTCACGTTGTTTGCTATAGATTTGACCAGCTAAGACTTCCTCTCGTTTTCTTCCTTGCAGGTTTTCCAATGCTTTTTCATATTATGGGTTAGTTTTATTAACTACAGAGTTCTTCCAAGCAGGAGATGTCTGCAGCAGTGAGTATTAGTCCATCTTTTCTTTTTAAATATATCCTGTTAAGTGGTGGAATATCTTTTATTAGATGACCTTCTGCTGTTAGTTTGGAAAGGACTGTGGCTGCCAGCCTGAATTTTAAGGCATCCACGTAAAGGGTTACTTATTTTAGACGTTTTTGATAAACTGTTCCTTGTCTCCTGCACAATGCGGAGAGGTCCTGCAGTGTCTCTGAGCCCAAAATGAAAAACAGCAAGACAGCCTTCAAGGGAGACCTGTTAGAAAAGTATCTGTTCTTCTTGAGAAAGAAATGATTGAATAAATGTACATTTCCAGATTTGACAGGCCTAATTAGTTCTGAGATAGAGACAACTGCTGCTGCTGTGGAGCTCCCAGGTTCTCAAGTTGTGAAGACCTGCTGAGAAAAAAGATAATGTTGGGAAACCATTACCTTTTTTCCTGCAGATTTTTGTGTTAAAAAAAAAAAAAAAAAAGTGCTTTGACTGCATTAAGAAGAGGCTTGAAAAATTTCATTCCCCAGGGGACGCATGCTTGTATTCAGAACACTTGTGATTAGTGAAAACAGTCTGATAGTTGGAAAATTATAGAAAGAAGATGGGCAGTATTGAGAGAAGACAGAGATCCCAAGCTTCTACAACAGTCTATTAGCTATTTGAGAGAAAATGAGGGACTCTGGTTAGCCTCCACAAAGGAGCACGCATGCTTTAAAACTACTCGTTCTGACAAAGACACGGTATTATTCAGTCTTCTTGAACTATAGATTAAGTGTTAATATCCCAGTTTATGTAGGGAGAAACTGAACTATTGATGTCAATTCTGTTCATTGTCATGAGCCCTGGACTGGAAAATAACTAAGCCTGTACAACTGATAAGGAAGTGTAAGTTTTCATTCTGATTGTGATGGTTGCAGAGGTAAGACATCCTGCCACAAATAAGATTATAAACTGTTAATTCTCAGCTGTATCTTCCAGGTAGAACATACCTGCTGTGCAGCAGGATCTTTTCAGTACCTCCCTTCTATCAGTTTTAGCAGTAAGAGTGATAAGGACATATCAGCAGTAAAGGAAGGTAAGCAGAGAAGAAATTACTTATAATAAATTAAATGTTTGGGTTTTTTTCTTTTTCCTCCCACAGTATCCAGTAGAAGGAAAGAAGTTAAAGCAAAGTGCAGCCTGACCTGTGAGTATCTGACAGAGGAAGACTACACTGATCTCCTCTGGACAACCCTGTCTGAATTCCCTGGTAAGTGGCAATAAGAAGCACCAGTTCTTTTCACTCACAGTGGCTCAGTGTGATTGGAATGGGCTCTGGAACAAGCAATGAAGCGGGCTCTTGTGTCTGGCCTGATGCCAATGTATTTCATGCAGCACCAGAACTCCTTGCTTGGACTACTTGATATACGCAGTGCACGCAGTAACTGTAGCTCTCTTCGCTGCCCATGTGATCACTACAGATAAAATCATTAGTAATTGCTTTGTGAAGCTATAATGGTCCATCTGACTATGGATTCTATCCAAACAACTTATTAGGCATTCAGAGGAAGAGTAACAATTAAATCAAAGGGGCAGAATCACTTGAACTTTTATCCGTAAATGACTTTGCAGAACTATTTTAAAAGGATGGTGGTTATAGTGAATCAATGGAGAAACAGTTTCCTAAAGCTCTGTGTCCAGCCTCAGTCATGATTTTCAGTCAATTTTAGCAAATTTCAATGAACAGTTTGAGACAGGACAAGCAGGATAGTTAGTATGTGATAGCCATTGTTCCTTCAGATGTGGAAGATGATCTCTCAGTATTAATCTGTTTGAAATAATACTGTGAGGCAGCGGTCAAGTTATTTTCACTGTTCCAGATTATAGTTGCAGGGACAAATGCTCAAAGATAAGCCATTTTGTAGGTGAAAAGGTGTAAGTCTATGACTGGTAAATATGCATAGTCCCTCCCTAATGGGAAAACTGACCTGCATAACAGTCATTCTGGGGCGGATGTCAGTATACGGTGGACAAAAAAGAGAATATGTACTCTTGGACTGATGCTGTAGCTACAAGGAGTCATTTGATCCTGAGACACACTAAGGCAGGATTAAGAAATACTACAAGGATACCTCTGAATATGACACTGGCAGCTCTGATGCTTGAATAATCCCCACGCTCCCTGTAAGTCCGTTTTTAAAAGGATCTGGAAAAGTTGCATAACTCACATTAACACTGTGAGACTTATAGGGCTTGATCTATTTCCTTTATCAAACAGCAGGTGAGAAATAATTTGATGGTAGCATATAAATAACGCAATGGGAAGAAAATACTAAGTTCTAAAGAGCCCTTACATCTATCAGTAAGAAGATTAGCAAGGACCAAGGCTCAGAAGCTGAACAAAAGATATTCCAGTGAGACATAAGGCAGGCATTTTTAGCGTTTGCGTTGGTAAACATTGCAATAATTGGTGGTTAACAGGTGTCAGAGTTGATTGCTCACTCCTACGTCCGTGTGTAGCTCCTGAGTGTGTGGGCATGTGGATGTGTGGACCAGCAGGGCTGTGAACACGGAGCAAGACTCACCAGCTGGGACACAGACCTTCTGTTTTCACGTGGCACCAACGGCTGGGGGCAACCCATTCTACACCCCTGCCTGATACCTCTGCCAGCAAAGTATTTTAAAGAAAGAGACAACAAAATTTCATATCTATATAACCCAGCCTATATTAAAATCCAGCTGCTGCAGCTTCCACCTTTGCTCAATTCCCAACAGTAAACTTGTCTCCTTCTACAGGTGTGTTAGTAACGCTATGGATTATTGATCGGATAGGCCGCAAGAAAACCATGGCCCTGTCCTTTTTTGTCTTCTCCTTTTGCAGTCTTCTGCTGTTTCTCTGCGTTGGAAGGTAAGTAAAACACAGTGAACAACTGATATATCTGATTCGTCCATGTTCTCTCTTAATTATGGCAGGAGAACTGGAAGTGGTGGTTTGAAAAGCCATGAGATGGTTGTGCTCAGCTGGAGAAAGAATTAAGGATGTTGTTAGGTTTTCTCGCCAGAGTTTGGAAGGAAACTAAAAGAAGCAGGAGAGGAGAGATCCTTCACTATAATCTTGCGGACAGAACAATCCCAAGGGGGAAGTAAGAGCTTATGTCTGAGTTGGAGGTAACCACTGGACAATTTTTAAATCAGATCTGATGTCATGAGCCTCCGTAGCTGGTTCATGTACTGCTCTCTGCCATTCATTACCTGTGTTTCCCCAGGCTGACTGTAGCAGGGCAGTGCTTCACAGCCAAGCCCAGCCTCTCCCTCCCATTCAGGTGCTCTGACTGCTTCACTTGTCATGGGCTCTGTGTGGTCTAAGTGCTATGGCAGAGTTATGTGAGAAGCAATAGATGCTGACTGGCACAACCTCGAAGCTGTATCCAGCATGGCTGGTGGACCTTTATGCTGGTGTTACAGATACATGGGGCCCGACTTTCAAAAGAACTTGGGTTCACATTTTAGTATTGTGCGGTATCTGTCCTTCATGCAGGTTTTCCAAAGAACAAGTTGGTTGGCAGCTCTGCCCTTCAATCTTAATGGTATCAGATTTCCAGCTGAGCTCTGACTGCATCTGGCCTTCATGCCACATGCATGCGACAGTGTCTGTACCTTGGGGCTGACGAATAAGAAAATGACCTAACAGCCAGAGGAGAGCTGTCTGAATTTAAACCTTGCCAGGCACTGTACAAAACCTTATAGTACCGAAACCCTGTAATAAGAAGCCTTACAGAGTTGCAAATATCCAGGTGGTACATAGTAGGTTCATGTCTTTTAAACAGGAAACCCTCACTCTCATTTCCTTCTCATGTGTGCCATTTTTTTGTTAGCACCATTCATAATGTGGAATATATTTTTCTTATTTAGATAAGCCTAGGCATTCGCTGCTTGTTTCAATAGGCCACAGCTGTCAGTTAGAATGAATATACTTAGAAAACTGATGTGATTGTGGGAATGCAGATTGTTTGGCACCGTTGTTATATTAAAGGTCCAGAAAAGATACAAAGGTTTCATTAAAAAACAAAAGAAATCATTCTAACAATTTAGCATTTTTATTGCACTTGCCTCCACGTTAAACAAACAGATTGTACAGAGCAATCCCAAACACTGCTTTCCTTTTTATTCTCACAGAAATGTTCTTACTGTGCTGCTCTTCATTGCAAGAGCTTTTATTTCAGGAGGATTTCAGGCTGCTTATGTTTACACTCCTGAGGTAAGGAGGTTGGTTTTGTAATGAGAATATTTAAGGGGAGTGAGAACGTGGTGGGAAAGTCATTTTTATGACCTCTTCACAATGGAGCTTACCCCAGATATGAGTTGATGATCTCATTGTCTAACAGAACTTGCTGTAGTACCACTTACTAATTTCCATTGATTTAGGAGACTGGAGGGAAGAGAACTTCCCACTAGGGTTAATGGGCTGATGCTTTGTTCACAGGTTTATCCAACAGCCACACGTGCTTTGGGCCTGGGAACATGCAGTGGAATGGCCAGAGTGGGAGCTCTCATAACCCCATTCATTGCACAGGTAAAATCCCTTCTCCTGAGACTGAAGGCACAGGAGGGCAATGGAGAACCTGCTTTTCTGCTGTAAGGGCCAAACCAAAGGCAATCTGTGTGTTGTGTTGAAAGAGGGTTGTGGCTGCCTGTTCCTCGAGGAGAGTTCAGGTTCACCTCTGAATTTACCTCTTGCTCCAGAGGCCCATATGATGGGGGATAAATAACCAAGAAGCAGGCTGCTGAATGGATGTAAGGGCACCTTGGAAGCCACCATCTGGAGATGGGATTTGTGAGAGGCAGGGAGTTTCTGTGCATGGTGCAATGCCACCTTTCTTCTGAGATCCCAGGCTGAGGTCCTGGAGGACATAAACCTTAAGGGTATGTGGAAGGACTTAGGCAGGGAGGTTAGGGGAGCCAGGCTCTGCAGGGACAGGACTCAGAAGACTGTGTCAGAAGCAGTGACTCTGCAGAGGGCTAGGTAGAAAACTTGTGATTTGCTTCAGTCCTGTCTAATACATAAGAGCAGCAGCACCTTGTGGCACTTGTAATCCAGGCTGTTTTGTCAATGTTTAACAGCTGTGTGTCATCATTGAGGAAAGAAAGTATGCAGCAGTGCATGTTAAACATCTAGTATTAATATTTATTTCTGTGATAAGGCTCAGGGATGATATTTTGTATTTTCTGCCTTTTTTCTGCAGGTGATGTTGGAATCTTCAGTCTATTTAACACTGGTGGTTTACAGTGGATGTTGCCTGCTGGCCGCTGTGGCTTCCTGCTTCTTGCCCATTGAAACAAAAGGTCGTGGCTTACAGGAGTCCAGCCACAGAGAGTGGGGACAGGAGATGGTTGGGAGAGGATCTCACTCCCCAGGGGTCACCAGGTCAAACTCTGGATCGCAGGAATGATGGGACATGAAAACCTTCTGAAAGAACGAATGATAGATCTCTCTCACAAAAAGTCCAACCCTGAAGCAACCCCAGAAAGCCAACCATACTGTCACTGCCAATGTCATGTGTCAAACTGCAGGAACTTTTGGGTTGAACCTAAGCAAATTGTGTCTCTGCTGCTCTTTGCTCACACTCATAAAAACTTTACTTCTGTACTGAGAGGCATTTGATCGAGATATCATCTGAAGGTTAGCAGGAAGGGTTTTTCTGAAGTCTGTTGTGTTTGCATGGTCAGCTATTGAGCTTAAAACGTCCCGTGCCAAGCAAATACCTAACTGAATGCAACTTGGTATAAGCTGTAATTAACATAATGTACTCTCAATGCCTAAAAACAAAAGATTAGTATTTATTGTGTACCTGGCATAGCACACGGTGGATTCCATACAGTACAGAGTAATTTTTATGAATTAGATGCCTGCCTTGCGCTTTTTAGCCATCAACAACAACAAGATGTGGTAATGACAAATCAACCAATGCTTTCTAGTTCCCTTGCTTAAGGGGTCTGTTCCTTGAGAATTAACAGGCACTGATTGCTTGGAAACGATTTTCTGAACGTTTCTCCACCCAAGGCAGGTAGTTTGAGTCAGTGAGGAGTGGTATTTGTTGCAGAGATGGAACCTTATATAAGAAATGTAAATCCTCGTGGTTTGGAGCAGAATTTGACGTTTCTAACATTGCTGGAATCATTGAGCACTCTGTCTGCTGCTTGGTGAAGACTGCTTCAGCTGTACTGGTGTCTCTTTGTGTGTGGAGGTGCACGCTGTGGTTTTTCTGCATGGGTCCAGGTATGTTTCTGCTCAATTTGCCTAAGTATGTTCTCGCGGTGGTGTAGCCAAAACCTTTGATAAAAATGCCTCGGTCTGAACAGCTGCATGTAGCAGTTTGGATGGAGCTGCTTTCAGGTGTCTCCCAACAGAAGCTGGCCTCCTGACAGCTGGGCAGAACTTTTCGATAGCTGCTAACTGTAAACTGACTGTAACGTCAAGCTGGTGACAAAGGAATGTAGCTGGCATCATGTCATAAACAAACAAAAATCATGGGAAGAGCTGAACTGCAATCATCCTTAGATGAGGAACTTCACTCCTTCATATGTTGCTCCTCGAGGCTGATGATTCTGCTCTTGTCAGAGAATGTAACGGAGTTCAGGTGAGGATAAGTTTGTCTTGTTTGTCAGAAATCTGTCGCTATGCAGGAAGTCAGATTTCAGAGTCTGTGAATGTGCAGCAAGGAAATGCATAAGGAAGCTGAGACATGTCTCACCGGTGTCTCAGTTTATTTTCAGGATTCCAGACTATGGAACACACAACCAAATGTAAGTGAGATGGACTAAATGCTCATCACTAGGCTGTGGGAAGCAATACATTTTTATAGTATGTGTGGTCAGTTGTCTCACGTAAATGTAGGTAAGTGTGAAACAAATTTTTGCACAGTAGAATATTTTAAGTGTTCTGGGAACCAAGCCCCTTTTCTGTGGGGCAAGAAGAGGTCACTGAGTCCATGTTTGGGTGCACTACAAACGAACACACTTGGGGTTCAGCTTTCACTTCGGGTTTTACAGCACTGTAGTGCCGTATAATGCTCCAAGCCATGGTAGGCTGTTTCTTTATAGCACTGAAGGAAAATTAGAAGTGGATAATTCCTTAAAGAAAGTGAGGAAACTCAGACTAATAGAAAAAGGCCAAAGAAGTTATTGATATTCTGTGTGTGGGTATCTTCTGCTGAGAAAAGTTAAAGTTTGACAAGGCACCAAAATGTCTGTCTGTTCATTTACCGCTCGATGGTGACCGCAGTGGAAGACTCCAGAAGTGGTTGGTCTGAACAGGCAAACTTTCCTTTTCACAGTAACATGAAAATGGAGATCAGCTCACAGGGGATCCCACTTTAGATGTGGCTGGTGACATAGAAACACGCTGTCTGTTCCAACAGCGGTTGCTCTGTGCTGGTTGGTTATCTCTGTCTCTGCTGTCTCTGTGTCCTGTCTGCTCAGTCTCCAGCGAGCTGAAGTTCCAGTCAGTCCCCAATTAATGGGCAGGGCTCTCGTGGCGCTGTCAACCAGTGCAAATAATTTGATTTTGCCTCCTTCTGTCAGGCTGTAGTTGCATAATTCTCCCTAATGCACTATGCAACCGGGGTAGCTGCGTGCTGCCTCAAAGTAGAGCGAGATGGACTCGTTTCCCTTGGGCTGTGCCTCTGAGGTGTGAGAGGGGGACAGGACACTGGCAGTGAGGAAGCAGTTCCTAGGTGGGTTTAGATCCGATACGAGACCTGCATGTGACCAGCGATCTGGAAAGCCTGCTTTGCCTTTGCCTAGGATGGACTGTTAACCCTTTTAATGACAGTTCTGGTTACCATCATCTTCATCCTGCTGGTTAAGGTACTTGAGAGCATGCCAGTCGCACCTGATGGCGCGCATCCGGATGCTTACGTGTCTCTCGCCACGTGGGCTTGCCATTAGCTGCGTTTACAGTTAGGTGTACACCCCAAAACCGAACAGCCTCTAGGAGAATTCGGCTGGGTGTAAGCCTGCATTAGAGGTGAGAAAGAATATAAGGTCCACGAAATCCACAGCCTGAAGGAGTGCCACCTTACAGCCTAGCTGCCAAGTTTGTTTGTCTGTTATTGAGCGCCTTTAGTTAAAACTCTGCTTTTCCAGTGTTAATGTTCATGTATCAGTTCACTTTTTTGAGTCAATATTCAACAGTTTTAAAGGATTGCATTGCAATGGCCTTCAAAGCATGCATTCGGTGTTTTAGGTGAAGTATATATATCTCATGAATTTGCACATATGTATACTTCAAATAAAATATTTCCCAGGTAAAGATTTATAAGTAATGAGAAACCTTTTGATGCTGTTGAGTAGCTCAGTTTTAACCTGTGACATTTACAGTATTTAAAAAAGAATTGAAGGCATTTTTGCTTTTCACTTTTTATGAATTCTGCATTGAAAATATACATAACCATATAACTGCCAAGATTGGTCCTGCTGAGACATCGTCGCGCTCTGGGTCTTTGACTTAAAGGCAGTGACGCCTAAAGCATGATCCAAAGCTCACCGAAGTCTGGGAGAATCTCGCATGGATATTGGTGGGCTCCGGATCAGCTAAATAGAGGAAGATGGGTAGGAGCCCGCCGCAGCTGATCCCACCTCCCTGGATCAGTGGGAGCCTATTGGGCACTGAAGGAGCAGAACTGAAGTTCAGCTTTTGCAGGTCCTTGCGTATTATTAATAAGGGAAGGACATTCTGGATTGTTCACTAAAAAACCTGAAGAACATTTGGGTTGATACACAATAGCCTATAAATAATCACAAGTCATATTTTGTTAATATGGCAACACCATTGATGTATATAATAAGCTTCCAAAGATTGTTTTACACACTGTCGAGTATTTTTCACTGATGAAGGAATTCCTATAGCTAGTTCATTTAAAACAATAAAGTGAGAGATAATTTTGAATTAAAATTGAGAGCAAACAGAATTGTGGGATTCAGAGATTTGCTAACTGTCCAATATATTAACGTGCAAAGCTGTTGTGGGAAAAATAGTTTTCCAAATGTGCTTTGATGGAATGATTTACTATTCCTAAATGCTTGCCGAAAGAACATTGAATGTTTTCCTGTGTTTGAATGTACAGTTTCTAAGCTGGACAAATTTTAATGTTTAAAAACTTTGTGTATATCAAGCTTGTTGTAAAATACGCTTTTGTTCCTATGTTACTGATGCGACATTGGATAGTTTAATTCCACACTAGATATTTTATGTTGAATAAATAAATAGTTTTTTCAGTAAAAATGCTGTTGGCTGTTCTATGGGACTTTTATGAAGGGTCAGTAACTTGACCATTTTTTTGTCTTGATGTTTGGGTATTTGGGATCAGCTGAGGCCACACAGCAGCACAGGATATGCAAGGGCTCAGTGCTTTGCAGATCTCACCCGTTTTGTGTGTGTGTTTTGTGCATTTGGACATAGAGAAAAGTCACAGGATTCATGTTCGCTTTATAAGTAACATCATAGCTACAGCTAAAGATTTTTTAAAATTATCTTAAGATCTTTAGTTGCTTTTTGCATCTGATTCAGTTTGGACATAAAAACTGGTCAGTTCTGCTTCTTGCCTAGGGGTAATTAATTTCTAGCAATGCCTTCGGTGCTGCAGTATGTGAGTGCAGGTCACAAAGCCGCGTTGGGAGGAGGTGGCTTAGCAAGTGTCTGGACTTCGGGGCAGGGAAGGTTCCTTCCACTTACTTTTTAATGTAAACTTTTCTTTCACCTCTCTTGTTTTTATAAAATATACACAAGTGCATAACCCTGACCGTATTCCTCTACCCTAAAAATGATATTCTTATTTTGATGTCCAGTAATTTACAAACATAAGGTTGTTGATGTCCGTGTCAAAGTGACTTAACGACCTGCAAATGCTTCGCATGCTAACACAGCGTGTTCCCTCTCTCGGCGCGCAAGCGTCTTCCTTCTCGCAGCTCGTGCAGCCGCTGACAGTCCGCTGGGGTGAAGAGTCTTACTTGGGAATGGAAGCGGCTGGTAACTACAGAAGGGCTTGTACCGCAGAAGCAATACTGAGGGAGAATATGCATTCTTCTGTGTTTTCTGCGAACTTTTTGGCATCCTCAGCCATTTCTAAAGCTCATTCTGTTTTCCAAAATGCCATTTCCTGTCGCTCTAGTCCCAAAATGGAGCCATCAGCTGAGCTACATGAGAGTGCCCAAACATTTCGCTATGGGAGTCTGAGTTCTTAACGGGCCGGGGGGCTACCAGCAACAACTCGCAGGCAACCACGTAATTTCACGCGATGGTATTTCAGGTTCATTTGTCTAGTCGGAATCTGAAACGATGGCTCTTCCTCCTGTGGGATGAAGTGTTCAGGAAAAACGTGGAGGGACAGGGAATGGTGATTTACTGGGATGTTTCTATGGAATTAGCACTTGAGGCCCTCTCCGTGCCATCGTTAAGAAGAGAAAGCATCACGCACAAGGTATTTGCATGTTACCTTTATTGTGCACACGTATTAAATTGTGGCCTTTTATAAAAGAAGCAAAAATTAGACTACAAATAAAATTACACCTCTAATCTTTTCTGTTTGTTTTCAAAGAGGCCGTGTCAGATCACAGGACAGCTGCTCCTAAAGGCTCTAAGATCAGAAGAATCGACTGTTTATTGCAAACTATACAATGATATGCTACACCCCTGCTAATCCAGCGTAGCTCTTCTGAAATCGGGTGAGTGGGTCTGGGTATACAGCAGCGCCAATGGGAGGAGAATACGGTCCTTAATATCGCATATTTGGAATAAGTGAAATCGAGTGGGTGCTATCTCACGGAATGGCTTCTACTGAAGTGGTATCACAGACCATTAGGTTTAGCATTAATCGATGGTAAATTTTCTTCAGATGTTGTTTTCTTTTTTCTATCCTTTTCTTGACTATACCCCTTTGAACGTGGCTGCGATATACCAGGTGAGCTGCCAGATCAAGTGGGAAACCCTTTTGACAGACACACTGGG